TGTGGTCAAGCTCCTAGGCCTTCAGGTGTTTAGGGCTCCATTTGCATTTTTGTTATGCTGCTATGGGGGCATAGTATTATTTGTCCACGTCTGGAGGTGGAAGCGGGAAGGGTAGAAGGACCCTGCTTCTGTATCCTCTGCAGGGGTTGAGCAAAACTGCAATCCCTCCTAGCACCTCCTCGTCTTGCAGCACGGCCTAGCCCACTTCACACTAGGCAGCCAAATGGCCAGGCACCGAGGCTGGAGCATGCTGCATTACCCAAGCATGCCTGTGAGATCCAGGGTAGGGTGGGGGACGAGTTCCCCCAGGGCATGCAGCTCTGCCCCACCCCAATGCAGGACATGCCTGCCAGGCATAACTGATCCCATGCAGTGAAAAGTCAGTTTTATAATGAATTGGAAACACAGATTTGATATGGTAATAGACATATACTTCTGAGACTGTATCCGCCTGTGAAGAGCCTATTTACAGTCTCTGGGGAAAGTCTGAAGAGTGCTGCTGAGGAAGCATGCTAAAGATTGATGCATACTAACTATGAGGTTGGGAAGCAGGAGAGTGATGAAAAATACTGCCCATCCCCCAGCTGAGGCAGAATGCAAGCAGAACTGTCATGGGAGCTGGAGGGAGACAGAGGGGGAAGAGACAGCAGGAGAGAAAGCAAATGTGCATATGGGGCCACAGGTGAGAACTTAGGCCTTTGGCCACTCAAAAATGCAGGGTCCCATGCAGTAACTTACCTTGGGTGTAAGGCTGCTTCTCCATTTTTACTTCTAGGAGGGCATGGGAGAGAGAGGGTGAAATATGAATCAGGGTAGTGGTCCCAAAAAAAGGGGGGGGGACGGACCATGTTCTTCTGCAGGTTTACAGGGCCCCAGTAGTTGATGAAGATACCCCATGAACAAGCAAGTAGGTCATAGCCATTTGATTTAAAGGCAGAAGAGACAGTATCATGAGAGGCAATGGATTCAGGGTGGGAGAGAGCAAGATGATCCATCTAGATTGCCTTTCTTTTTGTTTTGGATGGTGGGAGTGAGATGGAAGAACAACCTGGGCTCTAGCACTTCACTCTCTTAGCCCCCCCATAAAAACAATCAGTTTGTGCAGCTCTCTCAGCGAGCCCATGGAAGGAGAGGAAGGGCAGGAGCTCCGAGGCCCAGGTCTGGTGGACTGTGTGGGATGGATGCAGCAGTTGAGTCAATGGGAAACCTAGAATCTGCCGATGAAAGGGGAGATGGGAGGTGCAGGTCGAGGCCTCCATTTGCAGGAAAAGAGGCTCTGAGTGGGGAGCTTGAGGAAGGAAATCAAGATGTCCAAGTGTGGCGAGGTGGGTCTGGTAGAACCTGGCCCATAGACTCTGGCTAGCTGCAGCTGAGATGGGGAGCCAGAGGAGAGGAAGGCTGGTCCAAGAGTCAAGGTGTTAGCCACCCAGGTCCAATTCCTTGCTCAGTCACAGAAGCTCTCTGTGATTTGGGCAAGTTACTTAGTCTCTCTGGACCTTACTTTCCTCTCTATACAATGGGGAAGCCCTTCTGTGCTCCCAGATCACAGCTGAAGTCCTGGCCATTAGTTGAATCCTCTCTGGTCTAGCCCAATCTGAGCATGTGGGACAAGAATGGGGAAGCAAAACTCCTTTGTGTCTTTTCCCCTCTCCAAGGGGCCATAGCCAGCAGGCCACTGCCAATGCCTAAGGTTCCCAAACCTTCCAAACCAAATGGATCACTGCCAACTTCCAAGGTGCTTGCAGACCATGATGCCCACTTCTCATTGAACTTCAATTAAAAACATTATAAAAGTGTGCAGGACCGACTACAATCCACTGACCATTTCTTATGGCCTTTCAGACTAGCAGAGGTCTGCAGACTCCCCTCCCCCACATTTGGGGCTCTACATCAATGCCACACAGGTCCCACATTTACTTTTCAGAAGGAGAATTCAGAGAGATTCCCCTGTGGCCACATAATACCAGTGAGTCCACACTTTTCCTCTGCACAAGGAGAATGTATTCACTTCATTAAAAACATAAACAGATTTGGCATTGGCCAACTCTGTCCCAGCCATTAGACAGCCCAGAGCAGGGGGCAAAGGGAGTCTCAGCTGCTCAACTGTGTACCAACCAAAGGAGAGCTGGTCTGTACTCTCCAGGTTTGTAAAACTGAAGTCCTCTTAGATGTAGCAGAATTTCCCCAAGGTAAATACAAGTATCAAAATACATATTTAAAGAAAAAGAAATTAAAGTGATACCTTCGAGATGGAGACGGAAATGAAAAGACTGGACAAACAGGAAGAACTAGGACCTCCAAGTATTACTGCTACATTCATGTTAAACACAAACAACAGCAGGCGTGTTTGCCATGGTGTCCCCTGAGATTGTCCAAAAGAAGAGATCATGGGGAATTCATCAGAGCCACACAAAACCGTGTGCTGCCAACACCCATCCAGTGAGGAGACCCTTCTGGGATTTGCCAGGACCACTTGTACCACGGGCTGCATACTTGTGCATGCAACTAAAAGGGACCATGATGGTTCCCTTTGGCTCCCCCGCATTAGATGTGATCACATACCAGGAAAAAAAAAAGATTTCCTGAGGCTTTTACCATTCTGCACCATTTTATAATTGCTAGGAAAGGCCACCGATATTCCTTCCTCTGTTCATTTGCCCAAGTGGCCTTTCAGTGGTCAGTGACTGGGCACAGATGCATAGTCCTGCAGAGTCCACAGAGACTCTGATTTTGGGGTGTACGAAAAGGTGTGGCTTAGACTAAGGGACTCCATAAGGATGTGTGCGGGCTCTACCTCTGCAGGTCTGTCGGCATAGCATGGCTATCACTGCAGCTGAGTCTGCACTGAGCATGTGCTGCTGCTTCCGCTGCTTTATCAGGAAAAAAAGGATAATCATGGCTAACAGAAGATGCCTGGAGTAGCTGGTGGGAAATGGAGCCCCACTGCTGGGGCAGGGCAAGGAGGACTGGATTCTTTTTCATTTGAGGGATTTATTTGTGTATTTAAACAGACCCAAGGAAATCTCCCCTAAGGAGACAAGCCCCTGGGCATCCACTGCAGACAATTACAGCTGCTTTCTCTCCAGTGCTGCTCTGTTTTTGTTGGGGTAAAAGGGAAAACAAAGGAGAAAGAGGAAAGGAAAGAGACTTTATTCTTTCATTTATACAGTCTGCCTGTTTCTTTCTCTTCCTTTTGCAGCCTGATCTCTCTATTCCTATTATATGTGCAAAACCTAACAGACAGCCACTCCCTACACAGTGAGGGGCGAGGCTCAGCCTTGCTCTGTCATCTGCCTACATTTCCCTATTCTCTGCTCTCCTTCTGCTATAGCACTGCTGTCCCTTGACACCTGTCCTCTTTGAAATCAATTCTATGCTTGATCTGAGCCAAAAGGGAGAGCAGAGATTAAAGCTGCCTCTCTGCAGCCCACCTGTCTTCATGGCTCTGTGATTCCTTTGACAGTAAAAAGCAATGTCTTCTGGAAGGTGCAATACACCACACAGGCTTGGTGGGTGGGGAGGAAGAGAAAGCACCATATGGAAAAGGCTCCTGGTGCTTATGCATGTCACATCCACCACCTCATGTGTGTCAAGTGCAATGTAACCTTGGTATAGATGATTGCTGAATCTGAGCTCCCCCCACTTTGCAAATCAGACCAGAGCCCATTTTGTAGGAAGGAAAGTAAAATGGATGGGTGGGACCTTCAGAATATATCCAGCACACACACGTTGAAATAAGGGAGTTTACAGACACACACGCATGCATGCCACAGATTTTCCATGGTAAGGAGAAACATTTTTATTAATGGTTCATCGCAGTTCCCTAATTGCATGTAAAACTTGCTTTGAAACAACAGCTTCCTCCTTCCCCTTGCCAGCCCCATATCTCTTTTCCTTTTCGTCCACTGCCCTTGCTGGGCTTTCAAAAAGAGAAATGAACAGAAAATTGCACCATGGTTGCCAAGAGAGAAGGCAGTGAATGCAGCAAGAAAGGCTACTCTTTCTTTCAACTGCCTCACTGAGTGGGAGGGGGTCCAGAGGAGAACACACCTTTCCTTTTCCTCCTCCATTCTTATTCAGACCCAAATCCCAACCCTTTCCGACTTAGACTTTCTTTAATGCAGCATAAGGAGCAACTGAGCTATTTCAAAGGGGTGGGGTGGGGTTATTTTTTTAAAGACTCTCCATGAGCATCTATTGTTCAGACATAAGTCCGCAGAAGCCTTTTTTTTTCCCCCCTCACTAAGCCCCCAGTTCCATGTATCTGAATCCCTCCCTCCCCAGTAAGATGCTGCAAGACCCATCCTTAGGAACACTTCCACAGAAAGGGCACAGCAGGCTCACCGCAGCCTGACACACTGCGGGCAAATCTGATCCCCAAAGCCCAGTCCTGCCCAACCTGGGAGACCAAGATGCAGTCGTACTGTTATTCCCATTATTACTGCAGAAAGAAGGAAGGGCTTTCCTTGCAGCACTGGATTTCACTCGACACCAGAGGACCGCACCTTCCAATGAAGCAGTGTATTCTGATGGATGCCAGGCTCTGAAAAATGCACACAACCCCCCCCCCAGCTGGATTCTTTTCACAGCATCTTTATCAATTTCTTGCTCATCTCTCTTTCTCTTCTAGCATATTTGACTACAGCTGCTTTTTACCAATGCCAAAATATAATTCCCAGCTCTACCCCCCACCTCAGCATCCAAAAATGAACAGAGGATTCTTCCTTTTTTTTTTTTTAAACCTATAGGGTGCGACAAAAAAATAATTCAGAAGCAGCATCTTGGTCCTTATTTAAACAGGTACATTTAACAGCTATGGCTGCAGGTAAAAAGAAAAATGATCATGCATCAAAAGAAAAGCAAAAAAGACAATGCTGTGGTCCGCCTTTTAGCAACTCCCCCTAGCACGCAGGCAAAACCCAGGCTGGAAACAATGATAAATAATACCAGTGTTCATTTTAGAAAGGATGATTAAAAAATAAAAATGATGTTGGTCCTACCTGACACAGTACTGGCCATGGTGATGAGGTGGGGAGCAGAGAGGATGCTGTCGGAGAGATGCACAGGGAGGGAGGAGTGAAAGGATGCTGCTTTCTGCTGAGGTGCTGCAATGCTGTGGAAGAGAGGAAGAACTGACTCAGCTGGAGGGGGCTGCAGCCATCGGAAGGGAGGAGAGAGAAAGAGAGCGAGGGAGAGGAAGAGAGGAAAAGAGAAGGGGAATGAAAGAAAGAAGGAGTCGCTGCTCGTGAATCTTAATGAGTGGATCGGGGCTTTTTTTGCTGAGCAGCTTTGATGTCAGAGTCCTGCCAGAGTCAGAGTCTGACCACTGTAAATACAGAGAGAAGCACCGAAGGGGGAAGGGCAGGTGACACACCCAATCTCCAGCAAAAAGAGATTTTTCTCCCTCCCTCTCTCATCTGCGGGAGATGGACTAGCCCTGGCTTTTTTTTTTTCTTTTTGGGTCAACTGAAAGCAAAAATGTGCAGATTCACTGAATTTCTTTTTTTTCAAAGGAGAAGCCATTTCCAAGCCAATAAACACCTTAGGGGCTGTGTCTGGAGTCCCCGGTCAACTAGAAAGAAAAAAAAAGCCCCAAAACTCTGAAGCTACTTTCGACAGTGTGAAAGGGGAAGGAGCAATCTGAGGAAAATTGGGTATTTCTGGGCCTAACATCTTCCATTTAAAAGAACCCCTCTGAATTCAATAGGGTTAAACTATCGTAAAACTGATGTAAAAGGGAGGAGGGAATTTAGCCCTCTGGATCCAGTGGGGCTTTTTTATTTCCTTTGTGGGCCTTGGACTTTCTCATATTGTATTGTCTCTTGTTTGCTGCTTGGGGCTGACGCCCCAATGTCTTACGCAGGTTTCTGAATCTATTTCCCACCCACATTCAGGAACAAAACCCCCTCTCCTATTTCACACTCACAGCTGTAGGTGCCCTGTATTATTTCTCCAAAGATGGCAGTACAGACCCCAACCCTTTCTTTTATCACCTCACTGGCGATAGGCCGCTCACATTAGCCTCATACCTGAAGCCATTTGCCCCTTGACGCTGCACTTTGCTGTTAGCTGCACAGAGCCTTCAGCTGCAAACACCCCAAACCATCCAACCTGCTGCAATGCAGGCGCTCCCAAGCCACTCCAACAGCTGCAAGGAACTACATACAGGGTGTCAAGCAGCTGCAGACATCCCTGCTCAACACAGGAGCCCCACAAAATACCTGCTTCTTACAGAAATGTAAAACCTTGAGTACATTTTCACCTCAATCTCTGTCTTTGTACTCAAACACCGGGCCTGTGTTAGGGTGGATGGCACCTTCAGTGGAGGACTTCCTCCCCCCTCTACGTTCCAGTCTAATTCAGGAATTCCCGAGACTCTGTATGTTTTACTGGAAACCCCTCAAAAGCTTGCCTCTCAGGCCAGCAGCCTGAAGTTCCTCGATTTACCCATGAAATCTCTCAGGATCCATTCTCCTCTCACAACATCCCAGAATTCCCCTGTGCTTTTGGCTCCCTTCATTTTGAGATGGACAGGAAAACTTGCAAGGTGGCTGTGTTTCGCTTTGTTGCTGTGTCTTAATTGCACAGAGTGCGGGAGGGGACAGCACATATCTATGCGTGTGGTCAAAGGCCGTGCACAGTGGGGCTTCAATCTTGCCCATGACCTGTATGTGCTACGGTCATAAATGACAGGGCTATAACCAACTTGAGTCGTCTGCAATGTTCCGAGCAATTCTTCTTCCCTATTTTAAATTGAATTTCTTTTACAAGCTGCCTCTGATTTAGGTCAGGGAGAATCTGAAGGTCTCATACAACTTTTGTCATGAAAGAGATGAGGGAAATAGGTGTATATATTCTACTGCCGTGACTGGCTCCCATCTGCCTCCATGGCACGTGATGCCTAGCCAGGCAGATTCTAAGATTATGGGTATTTGAGTACAATCAGCAGAGAAGTCAGTTTTATGGAATGCATTTCCTTCAGACTTTCCTATTATGAATGTGCAGACATTTTTTATCACATTAAAGATTCCTGGATCTTTTCCTCCCTATGAAGTCTTCCTCTGATCATTCCTTAAAAGAGCTCATCACCATGCAGCGCATAAAGGGTGCAGATCACAAACAGCAGTTCTCTGATTCTCCTTTTAGTCTGCAAAGCACAGGGGAAGTTTCAGCAGAAATTTCCCTCTGAAATGCACCACACCATCTACGGACTGGAGTTTCAGCAATGCAAGCTGAATCTCAAGAACAGAAGCCCATGATAACACGGTACTTCTCTTAGGTTTGTTGGATAGGATACAGACAGTGCCAATTGTCTAGAACCTGAAGAAACAAGGTACAATGATAGAAAACATTGGTCTGCGAGGGTGGAGAATATAGATTCTAGTGGGCGAAATACAGTTAAAATAAAATAATATAAAAACACAGCTTAGAATAATACAAAGAATCCAATTTCACATCACAGGCTCAAGGAAACACAGAACTAAAAGTGGGTTAGTGTCATCCTCTACCAGGGGTATCAGACTGACAACAGCCATGAGGATCATGCATTTAGATAGTGATTTCCTCCAGATAGATCCCAAAAGGATTTACAGATTTCATGATCTCATTTGAGTCCACAGCACAAATACAAATCACTTTCCCCGTCGCTGAAGGGTGGTCCCCTCTGCCAGTTGGGAGATGCAATAAGTGCTTAATTTGCAAACCGGAATTTACCCATGATATTGTGATTAACCATTTTAGCATCAAGAAGGTGCACATCTGGAAGCAGCAGAAGGGTGGACATGGGCCCACTCTTGCCCAGCTTTAGGCAAGTATTCCTGGAAAGCAGCCTCCTCCATCCAAAAGGATTTCATAGACATTAGGGCTGGAAGGGACCTCAGAAGACCATCGAGTCCAGCCCGAATAGTGCAGTATGTTTGTACCGCAGAGCCTGAGGAGCTCACAAATCACAATCCCTTCCCAAATTCCTCATGTGACAACATCTCACTAGCTTCATTTGGCCTTTGTCATTAAAGCTGATATCAGAAAGGCTCTTTTTCATTTCCTTCTTAGTGAAGGTCTGTTTCTTTCTGTCTGATACGCAGGGCACGGGTGAATAGTGTTGGGGTATGATATCAACTAGTAGTGCTGCTAACAGTGCAGGTGCTGGTGGAATTTAGAGCAGCCCAGAGCATCAAAGATGAAGGGGACAGTTATAATACCGTCTCCTTTGCACCCCCCCACCAAGGGCACCATGCAGAACTTTGACTTCATGATGATCTCTCCCCTAAGGGATTTGTGCATAGGAAGGGAATCGGGCGGTTGTGGATTACTTACTCATATCAACTCGTCCCAGAAGCTAATATGCTAACACACAAAAGAGTCTGGGTTATACTAATGCTCCCACCCTTGGTTTTTAACTACCCTTTCATCATCATCTTTTGGGGGGAAAAAAAGCACTACCTTTAGCCTATATTTTTTAAAAGCTGCTCTTAGGGATGATCTGTAAATACTGATTTTAGAGAGACTTAGTTTGAGCTGTTATTTCTACAGAGGTCTCTCAGAATTTGTGTCCTGGAAATTCCTGACCCTCCCACCTGTTGAATGGGATGGAAGGAGACAGTCCATTTTGCCTGGCATGAAATCCAAAAGCCTGAAATTAATAAATAATATACGAGAGAGTTAGAAAAGAAATGTGATTGTCTAGCAAGAAAATCAGCTGAGCCCAGCCTGCAGGTACCTCTGCAGAATTTAGCAACTGAGACAGAGAAAAACTGGTGATGGCAACATCAGCACTAAATCAGGAAAATGTTTCCCTAAAGGCAAAAGAAATGTTCGGGTCATCCTTACTGATTTCTCTTTGGTGCTTGTCATGCGCACTTCAGACAGAAAAGAAAATGAGGCCAAGTCATAAAAAGATCTGGATCAGGAAAATGAGAGACTATATCATATCAGTCAGATGAAGGTGTGAAGGAAACTCAGAATTTGGATCACTCTGGTCACCCGGCTTCCTTGCTAGGGTGCCTCAATGCCAAGTCTCAAGGAAGAGACCACAGCCTGCAAGTAAACACAGCCACCTTGTCCCATAGTCCTGTCTGCATAAATGCCAATGACTTTTATACTGCTTGCCCCAAATTGCCTTCTCTCTTCAAGTGTTAAAAATGTACCTTCTCATAGAGATGGAAAACTACAATTTGTCAAGGTCCAGAATCAAGAAGGTAGAGGTCATGATCTTGGCTATCACACCTGGAGTCTGAAACAGTTAAGTGCAGCACTGCATGGTAGCCTGGGTTCATGACGGGCTTTTACAGCCAACTTCTGGCTCCAGCACTGATTTGCCATGTGGCCTTGGGCAAATCACTTATCCCTTCTGCTTCAGTTGCTCCCATATGTAAAAAGGAAGAAACTCAGAGAACCTCAGAAGACTGTTATAATTCAGATCTGAGTGTGGAATAGGAAAGGGTTTGGGTTTTTTGGCAGGTTCTTAACAGACAGAAAGACAAGGGTCTGGACCATCTGGACCAAAGAGACTGAATAATTGTGTGGTCAAACAAAAGCTGAAGATGCTTACCATGGGAGGCATTATGCATCTTCAGGAGGAAAGTGGCTGGCATCTTAATCCTCTTTTATACCTATAAAGAAAAACAATCTCTTTTACATGATTGGTATTAGCTATACGGCTGGGAATGGGAATAGCTCACCTTGCAAGTCTGCTTCCCAAAGATATCAGCTGGCAAGATTCTCCAGTCACTCACTCATCTACCTCCCTTCAGATGTGAAGGTTACTTATTTCTAGTCTTTCTTTGAATCCTGGCTTTATTTTTTCCCTGCACATATATTTTTATTTAAGCTGAAAAACTTGAACCTGAAAACTTCACCACACTTGTTTGAGGGGACAAGCCGGGACATTCAGTAGACAGCATTGGCCAGGCTGACTTGGGTTTTAACCTACTACTACCCTCAAGAGTAACACATGCAACACATCCCTAGTCTTACACTAAGGAGCTAAATCACAAGAATGAGACTCTAGAACGGAGAACCAATGCCCAATGGTATTTCAGAGAAAATCTATATTTCCTACAGAGGCCGTATGTTGTGTTTCTATATGCAGGTGGCACAATTACTAGTTATGTGACCCCCACATGTGCAAGATTGCAGAGAATTTCTTTCATGGTTCGTTGCCTAACTTAAAGATGAACAATGACTACATAGGCTAATGCAGGGGCGGGCAGTTATTTCTGGCGGAGGGCCGCTTACTGAGTTTTGGCAAGCCATTGAGTGCCGCATGACAGGCAGCCAGGGGCAGATAAATATTAATTTTCTAAATTTTTTAGGGACCCTGTGAGCCAGGTAGAATGGCCTGGCGGGCTGCATTTTGCCCACCCCTGGGTTAATGGCAAAGAAATACTGGCACATTGTATGAATACCTCAAGTGACAGCTCCCAGGCTTGCAGGGGTTTGGGTTGTTTGGGACAGCTCCCAGGCTTTGTTTCCCATTTAAAGGTAATACAGTGAGTTATTAAGTTTAATCCCTGTGTGGGTGGAATAATTAAAATATTTTGAATAATACTTTAAAAGAAAAATATTTTAACCACGTTAAAACTACAACTGATTTGTCCATGTTACCATTTTAACACTGGCCAGTTACCACATCTGAGCCAACATGCAAAAAATACTCCCCATCCCCCCAAGCTTTTTCCCTACCATCGACACAACCTTGCACCTTCATTGTAGCCTCTTTAAAACACCTTTCAAGAGGGTAGGTGCCATCTTCACATATTAGAAACCTGGTAAAAAATTAAACGAAAAGCTTGCCTAAATATGTCTGAAAGCCAGAGCTTGGAATAAATACCTGTATTTTTGGTTTCCTTTTCCCTAGAGTAACCCCTTGAAAATGCTGTATCCCCACTGGTATGTTATCCATATATAAAGCAAGGAGCTCTATTTCCTATAATGTATCCACGGGGCCTTATGATGTTAATCATAAATGATTTTGTTCCTTATGGACAGCTCAGGAAATAGATCCCAAACTCTGATACAAGATACAACATCCATTATCTCCCAGACACACGTGTTGGCTTTAGACACACCCTATACAAATATAGATGGATGTTGCGGGACCAAAAGCTAAACTACACAAGGAATGTCATGTGCCACCAGGCTCTGAAGACAGCAAAGACTTAAAAAATGTTAATTCAGGCAACCTCACAATACCCTTGTCAAGTAAGCGATGCTATCACTTTTAATACATGAAGAAACTGAGGCAGAGAAGGAGAGATACTTGCTCAAGGGCACAGAACTTGTGATGGTGCGGATAAAACGGGGGAACCAGCAAATGGAGCAAAGCATAAAGATCCACAGCATAAGCAAAAACCTGCCTCTCCTTTTTCTCTCCACCAGCACTGGCAAGGTATCATGCCTATAAAAATAAGTCTCATGTACACAAGCCAATAAAACATAGAGCTCTGGGTAACACTATACAATTCATAGACCATTTATTAATTGTTTGCCTAAATGCACGACTCTGGCTCTGTGACTCTGAGCAATAACCAGCAGTATCCAGTCTTTTAATCTCCTGCATTGCTCACGGCATGCTCCAGCTTCCGTAAGAGTCTACCAGTACATTTCACTTGCAAAGTACATCATCATGAGGAACAAATAATCTTTTGGACTTGCATTGGGGGGGGGGGGGGGTGTTATTGGTTGTGTTCCAAGATGTCCCTTGCAGTTTGGGAAAGAAAATGATGTGGCAATAGAGAGAGAGAGATGGTAACACTGGAGCTGCCGACATGGTCAAACAAGGTAAATGGTGCAGAGAAATAATCATACAGAAAGATAGACAGCATCTAGCCAATGCTGAGTCACATTGGACCCTGAACAACAGAGCATCTGCTGACTCATTTCTCTTGCTTGGGTTTGGGAACCTTCCAGCTTCCCCTCCTTTAGGACAGCAGTAAATGCTATTATGGTAATACAGATTGTAGCAAACAATATAATACAATTAAAGGCAATGTTTATTTTACTTGCTGCTCTACGGAAAGAGAACTGTGTTAGAGTGAGAGTGAGGGGAGAAAGCACCCGGCCCACCTAGGGTTGAATGCAAACCTATCCTCTCCATAACAAGCTTCCCCTGATGCCATACCCTGACAGCATCGACCCTGACCGCATCTCACTCTTTTCCCAAACTGGTCGGGGCTGAAATCTTATGCGCTTCCATTCGCCCTAAAAGACTGCATCTTCAAAAGCCTGAGTAAAATCAGCTGAGAAATGTTTGAATTATAACATGGAGAGATAGCAAGAACAGGTAGAAAAGGAAGTATATTTCCTTTCATTCCAAACCCTCAAAAGGGTTTTTAATTTGATATGCTTTGCAGAAGTCATTACATCTTAAAGATTACGGGATACTTAAATATTAAGGTATTAAGATTAAGGTATACTTAAATGTTTTTAACATACAGAGACTTTGATAGTATAGAGGAGCTGGGAAACTGGAGTTTATAAACCCAGTTCTAAGTGGCTTTAACATATGTAATCCTGTAGCATAATAGCTGCCATTCAAACAATTTACAAGCCAGATCACATTAGCTGCAGGAAATCACAAACGTGCGTCTGTGAGGTTTCAGTAACGTTAGATCAGATCCCAGTGATCGTCTACAGAATAGGTGCAGCGTATAGCAAGACTATCAGCAGTGACATGCTTGTTTACAGGGAGCTATGCTGGGTGACACCTGGTTTTCCTTCAGTCTCTAGCGTTTATGCTCCTGTGAGATACACTGTCATCACGATCTGAGAGTGTAGGTAAGCCACACCCCTCTTTTATTCCATATTTTATAGGTTGCTCAGATTTCCCTGCCCGGTACATCGTCCACAATGAGCTGGGAAGCGTTGGGAGCACCGACATCTGGGAACAGCCTCTGGTTCGAAGGAGCGAGATTGCACTGCAGCAATTCCCAGAGGCGGGCAGCGACCCTGATACACCGGCGTAAGCCTGACGGCTGAAAGCCGCGTGCTGAAGGGAAGCGGGGAACAAAGGAGTCGCACCCCCAGTAACAAAGGACACCTGTCAGAGCGCGTTCCCCGTTCTTGCGGCAGACGCTACAAAGCTCAGTGCAATGAAGCACAGGCACGTGTACCTTGGATGTGCACAGCTTTTCACCAACGTCCTCGCTGCTTCACACTCCTCCTACATGCGCCGTGGCTGAAAGGCAGCCGGCCTCCCCCTGCATCGGAGAGAAACGAACGGCCGAGGGCATCACGCGGGGTGGATGGAGGACGTTGAAGAGCGGCGCGGCGCGGCGCACCATCATCCCGTGCGACACCGCACAGACTTTTCTCCCGGTGAAAAGCACCTAGAAGCTGTAGGACTACGCGAGGGGCCTCGGCTTGTGTCCCAGGCGGCCCTCGGACTCAGCACACGCCTGGTTCCCCAACGCCGCCGCGCCTTCAGTCGAAACGGCCTCGCTCAGCACCGGGTTTCCCGCCGGCGCCGCGTCGTCGAAACCGAGGTCGGGAAGTCGAAACGGGTGGCAGTTTCGAGACGTTGTGGAGCGCCGCCCGTCCTCACACGAACACCGGGAAGTCGAGGACCGCTGCATTCAGCTGCACGTCGCAACGGAAACGACTGCAGGCGGGCCTCGGGCTTACACGCGACGGGGGCCTGAAAACCACCTCTGAAACGGAAACGTTGTCGCTCGAAACCGGTTGTCCCACAGGAAATGGGGGTATACATGGGGATCGGCTCCTGAACCCAGGCCCCATACCTGATTTTCTCCAAAAATAACCCAGAATTTTGTACTCGATGGATGACAGCTACATTACACGAATGTCTTTATGTTGTAAATAGCCATTGTTTGGATGTGGAAGGCCTTTTGGAGGTGACCTGGCTGGAGGCGTCTCAGGAGTCCTGGCTGCAGGGTTTTCGGGAGTCTCGTCTGCTTTCCCAAAGCGGGCGTCCAAGACAGAGGTGCTCCAGAGAGGAGGAGGAAGAGGTGGGACTCGAACTCGCGGCCCCTCCGCTCCCATGGCAACCCGCGCCCCACCTCCAACTGCCCGCGAGACCGGGGCCGGAAGTGACGCGCGGCACATCCGGGCCACGTGAGCAGGCGCGGGGATTGCGAACGCCGCGGAGGTGAGGGCTCGGGGTTGCTGTTGCCATGACAACCCCGGCCGGCCTGCGCCCTGGCAGCACGCGGGGCGAGGAGAGGCGGGGGCTCCTGGGGGGCAGGGGGGTGAAAGGGCACAGGTGCAAAAGCATGGGGGTGAAGGGGTATGGGGGGGGCACTGCAGCACCATTGCACATGACAGGACAATGAGCATAAGCAGGCAGCTTGCTGTAACCGGTTTTACTCGGTGGCCGGGCGCGTGCACTGAGCGGGTTCCCGATTGCAGGCCTGCCGGTCCGAGCATGCCCAAGATCGTGCTGAATGGCGTCACGGTGGACTTCCCGTTCCAGCCGTACGCGTGCCAGGAGGCGTACATGTCCCGGGTGCTCGAGTGCCTGCAGAAGGTGAGTGTCGGGCGCTGTCGTGGGAAGGCTGCGTACCCCTGCTTCTCGAGCAGCCCCGTCTAGAGGCGGCGCGCGGGGCTGCTCACGGGCAGAGCCACGTTTCCGAGGCGCGCCGTGTTGTCACGGGGTGATGCGAGGCACGATCGGTTCTGGGGATAACCCGGCCCCAAGGCCACACTGTTCGTGTCAGGCACCCAGGTTGTAGCCCTTTTAGTCTAGAGGCAAAAGGAATCGGACCTGGTGGTCGAGGTGATCTCTGTTTTTAGACCCACTAGATTTTTGCAGAAAAAAATTCTTTCATTGCAAGCTTTTTGTGCAGTTTTTTTTTAAATCACTTTGGTTGGTTTAACCTAATCCGTGTAAAAACGAGCCAGCATTTCGTATGTTATAGTCTTCACCAGCCACGGAAGACCGATTCATTGCGGGGGACAGAGAGGAATAGGAGATGCTCTGTTTGCCAGGGCACTCCTTGGACTAACTACAAATAACGGCCGCAAACTGACGGAGAGCAGATTCAGGTTGGACATCAGGAAGAACTTCTTCATGGCAAGGGTTGCCAGAATCTGGAACGGGCTCCGGGGGAGGTGGTCTCTCCCCTGCCTTGGGGTCTTTAAGAGGAGGCTGGACAAGCACCTGGCTGGGTCGTCTGACCCG